AGGAGGAGTCGATACGTTTGAGTCAAAGTTCCTCAAAGTGTTTTGTTTAAGTGCCAGAGCCAGCCAGTGTGCTAGCACACATGCTTATGTTTTAGCGTATGAATACAGAGAACCAGTCAAGCACGAAAAAAGTCAGTCGCGGTTATTTTTGGGATGGTACTTTGTTTTAGATATACTCCACTGTTATATTTATAGATTCAAAAGAAATTACAGCTTATCTTTAAATGTAATTACCACAGAGGACACAGAATGTGGGATTTTCAAAGCAGCCCAAGGAAACCCAGTTCTCAGTAGGCAGGAAAATAGTATGTCAAGATTGTTCTGCATATGCTGGTATCAAGCACCTGTACCAGGAGCATTCTGTACTTGATGCAGACTTGCTGTAAGCGAGCCAGCTGATGTTTTTGCAATACTAAGAGGTCTTATAGTGTAGTAAAATATTTCTTATCAAGTTCTGTTTGTCATGAAAAAGAATGTGTTTTCTGGTTTCTGCAGGGGGGAACTGTTTGGGATTTTTTCTTTTTTCCTGGACAGCATTACGGGCCAAGTGCTCAATCCCTTTACATCAAAGGCCAAGCTTGATTTAAATGAGACCAGAATGCATGGGTATGTGCTAAATCAGATATTTTTAAATACATGCCACTTGAGATTGCGGAAGAAAAAACACTCTCATAAATAGTTGTGATTTGTTTGAAGTCAGAGCACTCTTCTCTCTGTGGTTCTATTTATAGTTTCAGGATAAGAAATTCTTATGCTTAGTAGCAGGAACTGATGAGACTTTCACATACTCAGAAGAAAAACATGAATTGTAATTTTCTGTTTCTTCAGCCTAGAGAAAATTCATGAGTCTTGTAGCTGGGATATAGAACTAATCCTGCTTACTTAGGAGGATCTTAATCACACACTTAAAGTTCAGTTTTCCACTTGAACTATCTGTGGTACCCAAAGGAGTCAATTCGCACAGAATATTTTTCATCAGCCTTTGTCTTCTCGTTAAAATAAACCTTTGATTTTGCCAGTGACCAAGATTATATTTTAATGTATTTTTAATTTTTATTCTGTTGCTATATTAAAACCAGGAAGATAAATGGATTATTGTGAATGCTGAAGTGTTCCTTTTTTTTTTTGCTGCTGGATTCCAGTTCCATACAATATTAGCAATCAGCTTCTATGCCAAAGCCAAGCAGTGACAGTTGCAATAATGAATATTTGCTGCGGGCCACTGGTATGAAAATAGCACAGCGCTGCAAGCCTGCATCACCAGAAACAAATCTTCCATTTGACTATGACTGGATTTCCAGGTTGATTTTAGATCATTTATTATTGAAACAGATCTTAAAACACTGTCATAAGATGATGTTAAGAAATGCTGATTCAGTCTTCAAGACATCGATTCAAATGTCTTCTTACTCCTTTCTGGTGGATTTGGTTTTTTTAATCCCTTATACCTTTAATGTTGTACCCTGTATTTAGGGCACTGAACTGTGTACAGGCAGCAACAGTCATATATTCAAAGAGCCACATGCTGGTTAGGTTAGAAGCTCTGTGAGAAGAGGATTTGAATTCCCTGTTTGTAAGCTTACTTGACAGCTTTTAGAATGTTTTCTGCTTAATTCCAGGAGATAATTCTAAAGTTTATATGAGGATGAGCAGGTTTGCGTCTTTAACTGTGTCATGGCTTTTACATGGTGAACTTGGATGGTTGCTTGTATGTTTTGATGTCATTAATGCATTTGCATTGGTGGTATATATAATGTATTAATGTAGGGCATGCCTTGAAAGTGCAGAATATATGCACTGAACTTTTTTTTAGTTGAAGAATATTCTGATGACATTTACTATTTTTAGTTTAATTTTTATATACAATGCTGCTTTCACACATGCATATCAAAATACCTCAAAAGGACTACTATAATTGGTTGTATTTTCTTTTCACTTTACAATAGTTACAGAATGAAATATTAGATCAACATAGATATAGGAGGCCAGATACTTGAAAAACAGATAAAATCTGCAGATATTTAAGCTTTTTTTTTGTTGTTCATTGCCTTGGATTTTCCTATGGAGAATAAAGAAATGATGATTTATATTTTGCTTAGGACAGAAATACTGACCATTGCACTGCGAAGCTGGTAGTGGTGATTGATGTACATATCTAATTTCCTGCAAGATTAGAATGAACGCCAACCTTGCCATCAATCCTCAGAGAATGTTAATGTCTTCCTTTACTTTTCCTTCCCTCTCCCTGGTGCCATCTGCCCTCTGCCTTTCTCTTTGCCAGGAAAGTACATTGGCTAAACCTTCTACAGTACAGTAGTACCAGGATGGAGAAACAAGTTTTAAAAGCAGTGTTTCATAGTGCTGTGAGTGGGATTTGAGGAAAATAATTTCCCTGCTGGAACTTTCAACTAAAGGAAAGCCAACATTGACACGGATTCTCTGGGATGGGAAAGGAATGACTAGTTAATTGTATAATTTTGTGGACGGATCTACAAAGGCTTTGTATATTCATCAGTTTCCTAACAAAAGGCTTAATATTTCAAAACAGTATTTTTCTTTTGAAATAGAATGTTCAACAAGGTAACAACATTCCTTCCCCACCAGTATTTGACATTCGCAGTACCTTCAGGATATAACCACTTCCAGACTCACTCTCAGGAAAAAAAACAGCAACAACTTCTATTAGATCTTGCATGGGACCTTATTTTTGTTATATGCCTTAATGCGTTGCAATATGTAGAATATTCACATGACAAACTGCTTTCTTGTTTTATAAATAATATCTGGGAGGATATGTAGAAACATTTCAAAATACACAACGTGTAGCATGAATAGGGCTTGAAGGCTCCTATTCCCACTGACTGAAAAGGGTTCATACCTGGGTTGCTCCTGTAGACATTTGTTCAGCCAGTTTCAAGTCCTCCAGTAGGCAATGTTTCCAGATCTCTGCAGGTAGTCTATTCTCAGACTTTACAAACTTAAATATTAGAAAGAATTTCCTGATGTCTAATCTACGTCTCTCTTAGTGTGATCCAACAGTCCTTGTCCTGTTAGGAGGGATTAGGGAGAAGATTTTATTCTCTTATTTTTAGCTACCTTCTACAGATATGAAAAATGTTGTCAGTGTTTACCCTTCATCTTCTCTATTCACAGTCCATGTTTTCTAAACCTTTAATTTGTTTTGTCTTCCTCCCTCACAACCCCTGTCTTACTGGTTTACATTTGTATTGCTGCTGGATTAACAACAAAGCAAGTAATTGTTAATTTTTGACGTTGCAATCCCCAGGCTGGACACAGGGCCTCCAGTGCTGATTAGAGGAGAAAAAAAATACTTCATCAGTCTTTCACTTTGCACTTTCAGTATGGTGGGGACCTGTTTTATAACACGATGGTATGGGATCTCTGTTCATTTTATTATCCGCTACTGAAAGCTGTTTCTGAAAAACAAGCAAATAATTACACAAACAAAGAAAACAACCCAAAATCAATCAAACTAAAAAACCTCCCCAAAAAAGCAGTATTGGGACTGTGCTTCATCCTGTTTTAATAGGTCAGATTAATCCTACTGAGTGTGTATTCCTTCAATTGCCTTTACTGAAAAGCACCTAATTTTCTAGGCTGTTTCTCCAATGCTCTAAAATTGTTTTGAATCACATTTCTCAGTGTATTTGTGCTGGCTCCCAGTTCACTATTGTCTGCTAAGTTAATAGACGTGTTCTTTATTAATGAAGTAGTTGAACAGTATTGGTCTGAAACACACCTCTGTGGCATCCGTTAGTTATGTCCCTCCTGCATCACAGCACATACTGAGAGTTATAAGTCAAAGAATTATTTTGCCTGTTCTAACAGATGGTAATGAAAAAAGCCAGTACAGGTAGAGCATCATTAACACCAAGGGATATAGGAAACAAAAATGAGCTGTTTATGTTGGAAAGTACCAAATTCCAGGAGTATCCCAGTAAAGCAACTAAGATTTCTTAAAGGGGAATTTGGTACTCAGTAGGCTTAATATGAGAAAATAGAACACTGCAAAGGCAGAACAGCTTCTGTCCCTTCTCTCCTTCTCCTGTCCCTTACTTACTGTCTTCTCCACTGGCTCAGTGCTGGATCCTACTGTCTTCTGCCCTACTAAGTACTTAAAAACCACATGCTACTGCATATCCAGATATCATGTATATATTATTCAAACCAAAAGATCATCGTGTATTTTCTCTTTCTTGGCTTTGAAAACTACAGAAAAAAGTACAAGTTCTTAGATGTAAGCACTAGGTTTCCTCATAGATTTAGGTATATAACATACAGATTTTTCAAACATGCCACTGATACACAGAACATAAATCTTATTAGTGTCTGTGTAGATCTCAGATATAGAGTGTTTTATATTTAATTACTGTTACTAGTATGTAGTGTTAGTATGCAATAATGGATAATAATAATACATGGATAAATGTGTACTGTTTATTAATAATTACCCTTATTCATTTAATATTAGTTTTGGTTAAAATCAAGTGAAGTATAAATTTAACGTTTTATTTTATCAGATATCAAGAACATACAATTATTTTCATTTCAGTCTTATTAGTACAGAATGTTAAAACTTTTGCTTGGCTACTCAATCAGCATGCACCTAAAGTGCTCTATATAAATTTTAACTGCGTATTGTACTATTAATTTACATGACCTCTTTTAGTTGATTATCTTTCAGTTGTACAGTACAGTCTTAATGACCTGTCTTTCCAGTTTATGAATTCTGTATTTACTGGGTGTTAGCAGAATGCAGGAGACAGAATATATGGCGTTTCGATACATGGGAGTACAGTACTTTGTAACCACACAAAATACAAAGAATAAGGTCAGATTTAGTTCATTACCATTAGTCAAATCATCACTAGCATGATCTGGATCTCTGTGCAGTTACAGCATTACAATGCAAACAAGAAAATGCCAAGGGTCACAACATTGGCTTTTTCTTTCCTTCCATCTCCTCTCTTTGCCCACAGATGTTACCACAGGGACACCAGCAATATCGACAACGACAACCGTGGAAATCCGTAAGAGCAGTGTTATGACAACTGAGATCACCTCCAAAGTGGAGAAAATTCCCACGACAGCCACTAGCAGCACCACATGCCCTTCCGTTGAGACTGAGGAAGAAAAAGCAAAAAGACTGCTGTACTGTTCACTATGCAAAGTCGCTGTCAACTCTGCCTCGCAGCTGGAGGCGCACAACAGTGGTGAGATGGAGCAGTGCTTGCTTTCTTCCTTTTTTTCCTTCTGTCTCAAGAGCTCTGCAATTATCTTCCCCTGAATAGATTAGATCTCTTGCAGCAGGGGACAAAGAGGTGGCAGAAAACTGGCAATTACGTGGAATTCATTAACTGTTAAAGAATAAAAGTGACAGGCAAAGAGGCTTTCATAAAGGGGGAAGAAAGGAATTTTAGTGGATGCAAGTTACCCATTTTCTTCCATTTTAGCTTTTGCAGCTTCCAAACCTTATGGAGCTAAATGACAGCTCATGCTTCATTACCTTTGGTGTTCAGAGTTTGCATAGTTTTGTTTGTGCCAGCTAGCAAACTTGAGTATGAATGCCATTAGTTTTGTTTGAAATCTAACAAATTAAAGCTGAAAGAGGGCGTGTCAGTCAGTCAGAGTTCAACGATGAGAGTTAGAATTCTTAGCTCCATATTGTCTGTTAATAACTTGTTTAAATTATGTATATTATTCCTTTGTTGTTTTATTTTTTCAACTGATAGCACTACTGCATAAGAGTTGAATGGATAATTGCTTACCTCCATCTTTCCTAATTTTTAAACATTTTCTTGTTATTAGAGCTAGTAGCATTGGTAAGTTCCAGTAGTAGAGAGCCATCATCACAGTCACTATTTTAGGCATCTTATTGATTTGCTTTGATCAGGGTTAAAAGCTCTTGGGATTTAATATGGTGGCAATGAACACCTATAACTGTCCTACAGAAAAACTGCTGATTTTGGATGTCAGGGCTTACCTGCCAGCAGGGTAAACAGAGTTAAGAGACAGAGAACCTTTGGTTTGAAATATAGAGACAGAGATGATATATGTGCAGCAAAATGATCAATGGTTTTATGATGTAATAAAAAAGGAAATAACTTTGGCATGTCTATAGAATCCACTTAAACTAAAAAGGAAATGATAATTTGCTGGTATTCATGAGAAACAAAGCCTAATGAGTTTCGAATGCTGTGTTTGCCGTATGCCAGATCTTCAACTGGTGAAAATTCAAGTTCATAAAGCTACACCTATTTATTCTATTTAACTTTGTATGAGAGTTATACTCTAAACATTTTTCTGATTGAGATGAGAGTCAAAACATCATTCTGAATATTTAACCACCACCCTCCAATTTTTTGCTGTCCATGCTGATAAACTGTGTGTGCTCACACACATGCATGCTTGTAAAAGTGTATGTGTGAATGCATACAACAATTATCAGTGGAACACTAATTCTGTACATGGTAGTAGTCCATTATCATCACAGACTACCTGCATGGAAGTCAACGGTGTAAGAAATTGTTTGGTCTGAATAAAGGTAAAGCAACGGGACACTATTGTTTTCTATGCAATCTTTATTTTAATAAAAAAAGCAAGTGTATTTTTCTCACATGTATGTTTCTCACACATTTTGGTTTCTGTCCAGCCCATTAAGGATCCATAGGTTGCTGCCAGGAACCTCTGCCCCTTTTTGATTTGGAGACTAATTAGTTAATTACAGATTTAAGTGTAAGCTACCATATTGTTTATCAATCCATTCAGGAGGACTACAAATCAAAGCCAACTACATCTTTAATAGCTAAATTACTCTTCCTTTGCAACTACAATTCAGGTCTTATTAGCAGCAGGAGTTAATGAGAAAAGTCACACCCATTTAACTTCACATCAGGGTACCTGATTGTGCTACCACTTACTGATGTGGCTGCTTTGTTCTAGTGCATTACCTACAGATATGTAATTTAATAATTAAGTATCAGATGTGAAATACTGTTACTTTTGTATGAATGTGATACAGACAAACACAGGCATATTCCAAGGATAGCATGTGGCACCAAGCTGAGGTTCATGTGATTTTCTTTTAAAAAGAAAATAAAACAATGAATGCAACCAAATTGCCAAAGTTGTTTCTGTTTCCCATTTCTAATGTCTCCAGGGACTAAGCACAAAACTATGCTGGAAGCTCGGAATGGAAGTGGAACCATAAAAGCCTTTCCCCGGGCAGGCGTAAAAGGCAAAGGACCTGTGAATAAAGGAAACACAGGCCTTCAGAACAAAACATTTCACTGTGAAATATGTGATGTGCACGTAAACTCTGAGACACAACTGAAACAGGTACTCAGCTAGCTTGCAGAGTGTGAATCCTTGGCTGTTCTTTGTTTTCATGGTGATAAATTACCAACACAATCAGCATGTGTCAGTCCAACAGTTTGCATCCAAATGGAGCTTACAGATTTTGCCCTTTGTACTTGACTGTCACACTGTATGTTTTGTTTTGGATATGGCTTTACCTTGCACAGAATATGATTTTTCAAAAGCTCTTGATTATATATATTACTTAAAGAGTTATAGAAGCTGTAAGCTACATGTTACAACTGCCTTTAGACCGCTATAATTGTCATGAGCTAATACACCCCGCCATTTAGTGTACTTCATGATATTTGCCTTGACAAAGATGTGGAGGTAGGTGCAGCCAACACTTTTGCAGAGCACTGAATAACCTGCTTAGAAATTCGGTATGGAGAGGATTTGTAATATTTTTTTATCAGTGTTACTCTAACTGAGAAGCATGACCTCTAACTTGCAATTACACTATGTTCAGTCATTTTTCAGATGAACAAACCTTTGTTCTGAAATATCCTTAGTTTAATTCCATATGCCTTTTGGAATTAAATACTTGTTAAGGAACTTTACAAGAATGAAGATAAATTCAGTAATGGACAAAAGCAATACTTGCCTTCTGCTTTCAGGAAAAAATAATCCATTTCTTTGTCTTTTCTTGCAAGAACTCTCTTGAGAATGAAAATAAAAGTAAAAATATAGTTCTGAAAAAGGTCTCTTACATCTAATACTGCAATAAAGTCTGGATAGAAAGATTCTTGTAAAATCTCATAGATTTTATGAAGAAGATAATGGATGGTGTGGGGTTTTTTCCCTGTCACTTAGTTTGATACGTAACCATCTTTCAGCTGAAATCTTAAAAGGATCTCCAGGCTTCTTAGGGATTTAAACAATTTTGTGACCTCCCTCCCCGCCCCCTTCTCCACCCCAATAGGGGATGCACTACTATCTAATATTCTTTCAAAAATTTCTGTCAGCAGTGGATTGAGTTTGATGGATTGCTTTATAGATAGGGAGGATTTTTTCAAAGGCTTCTGCCTTTGGCTTGATTCAGGTCCTGTTGAAGTTAACAAAGATGACAGAATCATTGACTACAGAGGAAGCAGAGTTGAACTGAGCACTGTTGAAAATCACAGTCCCAATATGTGATGCAAGAAGGATCGTTCAAATTGGAACAGACCCTCTTCCCATTTGTTATTTAATTAGTCAAAGTAATGCTGCTGTGGAGAGCAGTAGCCTTCAGTATTGGAGCACCCTTGTGTAAAGCAGAACCTGAAATGATCTATTAAGGAACTATCACTCTTCTTTTTCTTTTCTTTTTTTTTTCCCCACATGTATTTTAACAGCACATAAGCAGTAGAAGGCACAAAGACAGAGCTGCTGGGAAGCCGCCTAAACCTAAATACAGCCCTTACAACAAACTCCAAAAGGGAACACATCCTCTAGGGGTAAGCCAATCACCTTTTTATTTTACTCTTACTTTGAGCCTGCTGAGTAGGGTTTTTAGAAAATGTAAGTGGAAAAATATTTAAAATTAGAGGATTAGGGTAACCAGTGTTACCAGGGAGTACACAAGTGTCTGAATGAGCCGATAGAAGACCACAAGGGACTTTTTACATACATCGATGGGTGATGACTTCAACCTGTGGGTCCTCATTTTGTAGCTACTCTGAGTAACCTCAGAAAAGCAGCTTATTTCAAAGGTCATTAGAGAGCAAGAGATGAAAGAAACATCCAGGTGTCAAACAGAATTTTTCTAGTTTTCACCAAGGATAATAGCGATGAAATGACTAAATAAAAGTCTATAAAATATAAAGCCTTTATTTTGTCCTTATTTAGAAAATTATTCAAATAACAATTGAAACAATTAAAAAAATCCATCTCTCATTTTGTTCTGCTCAGTTTCAGGATGGTTCTGGTCACATTTTCAACTACCAGATTAAATTATCTGAAACACAGCTCTTACTAGCTTCAAAAGCTGAGGAAATGGTTTAGTTTTTAATAAAAAAACCCTCTAGGATCCTGCCATTAGTTAAGAAGCATCTTATATTGTGGGTGAGATAGTGAAACATCTGACATTTATCTCCATCAGATAAACTGCATGGTTGTTTTACGTGCCATGGTGTTTTGTAAGGGTTTATAGATGGTTTTGTCAGAAGGAGGATGTTGATTCATTGACCTCATAGAGATTAGCCCCTTATGCCTTAACCATCTTCTCTTAATACAGGCAGAATATGAAGCTTTTTTTTTTGTGAAAACCCAGTTCTCCTTGAGTTGAGTTAAAGCTCTTTTCCTGGCAACAGAAATTGTGTCCTTGTTGGGGCAGCCCCCATGAGTGCTATATTCATGCACGATTCAGTTGGGGAGGAGTTTTCCTAGATGTTGTGGCATAATGCAGGGCACAAATCTGCTAGATCCACTGGTAGGGAAATAGCCCCATAGGGTTTTTCAGTAATCCACCAGGAAACCAAGGTCTCCAATACGTATAAGCTATACTGAAAGGAATAGAAAATATGTGATGAGGTAAGTAGGATATGGAATCTCTAAAGCCTGTCTGACAGGATTATTATTCCTTTAGGAAATTCATTGTTTGGGGGATGAAAAAAACTATGACATTACTGTTGCTGTTGTGCACAATTCTCTGTTTACCAATTTATGTAATGGTGATTTCTGAGAACTCCAGCCAAGATTCAAGGCCATTTAGTTGCTGCATAGACAAATAAAGGCAATGTGCCCTTTTCCCTCTCCCTCACTCCCGATTGCTCACAATATACAAGTCAAGCCAGAGGTGAGCAAAGAGGCAAAGGGGATTTAAGAAGGAGAGAATGACTTAGCAATTAATGAACAGATATGCATAGTAGAATGGAGGCTGCTCTGAGAAAGGACAAGAGGATTTCTCAGTTTAGTCTTTTTGGTTTTGAATAGAAAAAATACCACAATTTCTGTCACTTAAAATGCAGAATAGCACAGCAACAAGCCAAAGACGTGCTAATTTTACTTTGAATGTGAATGTTTTTAATGAGCTCAAGACTCTTTCTTTACTCCCTGTTAATTTTTCAAGTCATTTACTGTCCTTTAGTTTACTTCATTGGAAATGAAACAAATAATTGCTGCTTTAAGCTTAATGTTGACCTATGTGTTAATTATTACTTTCAGAGAGGTTTGAATGAAGGTGCAAGGTACTGTATATGCTAAATGTTACCAGTTTTGCAGCTATCTTGAAATCAGAACCACATTGATAAATTAACTGAAAAGCTATATAACTTCTTTAGAAGGTACTGATTCCTCCACGAATGGCAAGATAGTCCTAGCCTTTTAACAGTCACATAAGGTTTTTGTTCTTTGTGACAAAAAATGTATGACCATCACCAAATTATTTTTCTACAGAAGGCAGAAAAAGGACATACTACATTTTCATAACTTTTCTAGACGAAAAACTTTCCAATGCCATGTTTTCAATATCATTTGTACTGCTTTGTCTAGTCTAATTTTGCATGTTTCAGGGAAAGAAGCTTTATCATTTCCCACAGTAATGTTTCAGAGTTTAAGAAATCTTGTAGTGTTGGGACTTGCTTCATATTTCTTCAAGCCACAAATGTCCAGCGTGTATAAAATACTACACTGGAGAGAAAGAGGTTATCAGGCATTGGATAGTCCAAACTTTCTGCAATAAAATAGCTTTTATGAAAAGCATCCTTCACTGGGAATTGTAGACCACAAACAGAGCCCTGTTGTTATGGGCTGGGGTTTTCTTGTACTTTGTAATCAGGATTTTTTTTTTTTTTTTTTTTTTTGAAAGGGTTTTTTTTCCTTGTCTGTTTTAAACAAGGCTGAAAAGAAGTATTTAATAAAAAACGTAGGGAAGGAAGAAAAAGTCAAATGTGCAGCAAGGGAAGAAGACAGCTTGGATCAGTGGGTGTAACACTGATCAAGGAAAAGATCAGATCATTGCTTTTCATAGGCACCATGAGGAATTTTGTACCTAGCATCCATTATACCCTCTGTTAAGAGAATCACTGAATCTGGTCCCTTCTGAATAGCTCTCCCAGAGCTTTAAAGGACCTTGAGGCCAGCAGAGGTGCCAATGGGTATTGAGAAAAGTAAAAATTCTGTGTCCATCTGGCTGGTAAACAACGAACAGATTTTTTGGAATATGGCGATAGCATAATGATGAAAGTTGCTGGTGGTTCATGCGAGAGTACTCCTGTCCTTACTTTCTGACTATTCCCTCACCAAGGTACAGTTGAGTTGAAAATATAAGACTGCTATAGTGCAAGTTAATGATCTGAAATCCCCTTTCAATTCAAGGAAGAGAAATTGTTTTTCCCTGTGAGTGAGAAGTGTCCATACTTACACTGAGAGGTACCACAGCATGGTACATATATTCATATTCTGTATATTCAATACCACATATTCCAGTTTATGTTCTTTGCAAAGGGTGTCAGGTCATGCCAGGACACAGACCCACCAAAAATTCATCAGAGCCAATGCAAACTTTTCTTTGTCAGTGGATGAGTTTTCTGTTCTTATCTCAGAGTTATAAAACCAGAACAACAAAGGTATTCAGGCTCCTGGCATCTCATTAGAAACTTGAAATCCCACTGAAATCTATATAGACTACTCTGATGTTCAGTTGTATGCATACCAAATGTAAATTCTCTTAAGTAATAATGGACCCCTGTGAGTATTTTCAATCAGTCTGGGAAAAGCTTCAGGTTTGTTTTTTTTTCTCTTTGGAAGCTCTAAATGAGGAGTTTTCTAAGTTGTATTTGATAGGGCGCAAGACTCATGATTTAAATGTTTTTAAAGCAGAAGCCTCAATGACGGCAACAAAAATACCATGGTTTGGCACCATACTAAGTGATATAAGCAAGATATTTTCCATGACATTTAAAAATATCTACCACCTTTCCGCAGTCCTTGTAAGAATAAACAGTATCTTAGTGAAAAACATTTGAAGACACAGGAAGGTGACATAGGGCAGCACCCATGGAATTCATCACTATTTGAACATATGAAACATAGGAGATTTTCATAACTGGTGCAACGTAAGCTTTGTTTATTCGCTTGTTATTAGAGGCAGGAGCTAATAAAGAGGAGCTAGCTGGAGATCTTAATTTTAAGTAGAACTTGCATCCTAATGATAAAAACAAAAGTACCTTCTTAGTCAGACTAGGGAATAGGATATGTTTTCATTCTACTCTGATCGTTTATCGTAAAGCTGTCCCGATGGAGGTCTTTTAGTGATGGCTAGTTCTTCCTTATTTAATTCTTGCAGTGTACATGCAGCTTTACTTTGGTGCAGATTGTTCAGCCCTTTTTTAGTTTTGCTTTGATTTCTAATTTCATATTAAATTATAAGTCTCAGTGATAAGGCGTGAACGTTGAAGCTCTTTGTCCCCAACCAAATCCTGCTCATGCTTGTCCAATGCACGAGATTGTATCTCCTGTTGCAAGCCTGCAGTTCATAGAGTCAGTAGCCACTATTAGGCCTCTCTGGCTTGATTTTGCACTTATAATCTTAAGTCAAGCTCCCTGTTGTGTAGCTAATATGAACAAATTATGTCTCTCTGTTTGTTTGTTTTCTCTCTTCCCCACAGGTAAAATTAGTATTTTCAAAGGAACCTTCAAAGCCAATGGCTCCACGAATCTTACCAAATCCGCTAGCAGCTGCAGCAGCAGCTGCTGCTGTGGCTGTGAATTCCCCCTTCAGTCTTCGCACAGCCCCAGCAGCCACTCTTTTCCAGACTTCAGCACTTCCTCCAGCACTCCTACGACCAGCTCCAGGGCCTATACGGACCACCCATACTCCTGTGCTGTTTGCTCCTTACTGAACTCCAAACAGGAATTAATTGTACTGCAATAATTTTTCAAATCAAAAAACAAAACAAAAAAAAAAAAAAAAAAGAAAATCAAGAACATTGAACTATGCAGTGTTATTTATAGTTTAAAGTATATATGAAGAGCCAGGACTTTTGATAGAGAACTGAACAAATTCTAAAAGGGGGAATGGGCAGTATTTTCTCCAGATGTGAACATTCCTCTTCAGTATTGATCGTTTTAGAACTGATCTCCAGCATTGACTTGTAGTGACATATAAAACTTATGAAGCCTTTTGACTGTGCTTTTTGGCACGTATTTCCCTGCAATGTCTTTCCTGCTTTATGAAACAACTTACAAATTTGTCTAAAGGGCATTAACTGGTTCCAATGTACATAAAATACATTATTCTGTAGATTAAAGAAGAAGGAAAAAAAAGAAACACTGTGAATAGTAGTACCCTTACCAATCCTCCTGCCAAATCAGCAGTTACTGGGTATTTATCTGAACAAAAGTAGATACAATAGATGTCTTGTAAAACAGTAGTATTGTGTCTCTATCTATGCCACTAGGTTTCTAACTGAGTTGCAAAAGATAAAATGAACAAATTATGTCACTTTGGTAAGTAGTCAAAAATTATGACAATAATGTGGAGCTGTTCCTGGTGAGCAAAAATTGTTTTCCTCACGGGTAGAAGAATGGGTCTGAAGATAATCCATGGTTCAGAAAAAGTAATTGATAAAGAAGATTTAGCAGGGAAAAAAGCCCACAGATGCTGTACACAGAATAGGTCAAACTTTTATTTAGCTGAGAATGTATGTGTACAGTGTGTGTATATTCAAAGGGTGTAATACATACAGGATAGATCAATGATTAAGACATGTCAGGGGACAGCAAAAAATACACTCTTGTCATGAAAAAAGCCTGACACTTTAGTGTTGAGCAGAAGGAAGACACAAATGGGTTACACATAGTCATAACTAGCAAATGAAAAGCAGGAGAGAAATCCTGGCCTCATTTAAGTCAGTATAAAGTTCCTCCTGACTACAATGTAGCCAGAATTTCATCCCAAGATTGGCACATATTATTTTTATATCACACCAGTGGGAGTGTCTGTAGATACAGGTAACATTTTTTGCAATAGGCTTAGTCTTAGATATATTCTCTTGTTTTATTTCCTACTGGTGTGATATAAAAAGTCTTAATATACCTATAAAACGTAAACAGCAACACATGAGATACATATTATGAGATAACTGCACATTGTGGGTTTGGAAAAAATACAACCTTTAGGATCTGAAGGGACCCTTGAATTCTGTAGCTGACCTTTATGTATGGACAGTTTAAAGCCTTATGTATTTGCTGTGAGGCTTAAAGGGGTTGACTGTGTCCCTTTAAAGTAAGATTTATCAGGGGTATATATAGATATATTGTATATATGTTAGAGTAAGAAAAATAACTTATAAACAGAAAATCTACTATATAAAATAATTATATAATCATTGAGTTTCACATGTGGGTCATTAAGTGGTAAGTAACAAACAGCAAAGTAAAAAATAGACTTCTTGAATCTGATTCTTGCTGCCTGCTTTTTCCCATAGGGAGCTGAAAAGTATCTATTAATATTATGGAGTGCGCTGCTGAGTCACATGCGACCACTCTGATGTGTAGCTAAGTGAAATGCCTACCATACATTTAGAAGGAATAAAATTTCAAAAACATAATTTAAGTTCAGATGGAGAAATGATTTGAAAGATTTTATTAAAAGGTAGTAATGCAAAACATTGACCATGTGGTTGCTTTATAATGCTGCCTGTGGTTAATATGAACAATTGGGAGACATAGAGGATGGGAATATACAGCACTTTTGACTTGCAGTTCATCAGTGAGCCTTCCATATACATTGGTCTTTGCCATTTTTTAAACCTCTCTACATTTAGATTTTATAAAAAAAAAAATACAAAAAGAGAGAAAGAAGAGGTTCCATGGATGTCTGTGTCCAAAGAATTCCAAAGAGATGCATTTATTTATCTAGAAGTATTAAAATAAGTTCTATATTATGTATTTATATTTCATCCAGTTTATTTGCAAACGTTTGTGCCTTGAAATGAAATGGGCTTTTGTTTATACTTAATTCACTCCTATGTAGCCATGAAAAAGATGTGATGGTGATTTCAGGGCTGGTCACTAGCTGGATTGCTTTGGCCCAATTTCCAAAACAAGAGTATGAGTAAGTTCTTCAAGCCAAGTTTAGGCACCTAAATGACTAGGGGCTGACATTTAAAAGGGCTCCCTACTCTACAGCTCCCAGTATAGAGGCAGCAAACAGGCCAGCCTTCAAAACCTGCACCTAACACTCAGTTTAGAAAATGTTTCCTTTTATTTGGGTACGTAAATATAGTGTAGTAAGGTTCAACTCCTCATTGCAAAATCTTGGCCTTGGTGTTTTAATCCTGCTTTCAACCTTCCATCTTTTTGCAGAAGTTGTAGTGCCATTGCCAGCTGTGTTCAGATTTTTCCTTGAAGAGGGCACCGGTTTTCAAGCTGTGCTCCATGCACCACCATTTTTTTCCACAGACTTTTGTAATAGCTTGTGTAAGGAAGAGCTTGTTAAACGAGCAGAGGAGGAGTGGTGTTTTGGGAAGGGAGAAGGTCTGGGCAGGTGATCTTTTGCCCATGAAAAAAACATGCAGATTGGAAAAGGGAAGACCCACAAATATCCTGTAGGCTCTTATGCATAGCCTTCTGGTGCGTGGACACCTGCTGTACATCCTGCCGTGTTGTTGTGATGCCATCAAAATCAACAGGCTGATCCTTGCCAAAATGTGGCCTGTGGCATGTATGGAGGCACAGTACTAAGGGCAGAGTTAATACGAGTTTTGCTAGAAATAAAGAGGGTGTCATTCCAACTACTTACATCAGCTAATTTGCAATGACACCTTCAGTTTTCTTGGACCTCTTTTGTCACAGTGCTCTATGGAACAAGTTTTTGTTCACACAAGTCTCTTTTAAATTTCAGCTGTAAACAACAAAATTCTTTTTATGTCTCTTACTCACTACCTAATAAAGGATAAAGCCTAAATATTAGAATGTATAGTGGATTTTCTATGCCTTGCTGTACCACCCTCTTGGTCAGTAACAAGCCAACATACCCGGGATGTCAGCGCAACAGTTTTATATTGTATGTATGTCAAGGAAAATACTGGCACAGCAATCTGATTGGGCAAGGGGAGCTTCCAGTCAAGGGTATGTCCACAGCAGCTGACAAAGGAGCTAGCAAATGGAAGACACTTTACACCTACTTGTCAATACATCCAATACAGAGAGCCCTGTAAAAGAAAAATGTGTCATCATATGCCATGTTACAGTAACATTCCAGGGCCGAGAGAAAGCCTAAAGCGGAGGGAAACAGATCATTTCATTGAAGACAGTCACTCACTGGAATAACAGTGTGAAATCAGCCTGCAGGGAAATGGCTGGCTATGAACTTGAAAAAACAAATAGGTTCAGGGATGTTTTCTTAAATTCTATATGAAATGTTAAAGAATGACTATTCTGTTCTGACCTAAAGAGAGGGTATTTTTGTGGGAGGGATATATATTTGTATTTTTACACTACCTGCATTTTTCCAACTATCTCTGGCTTCAAACCCTTGTTCTGAAGTATCGTCATTGCTCTGAACCATGGAATCTGTTACCTTCTTGAAAGCTGCTGTAAAAGCTGATGTGAGAGGTCAGTATGCAAATGGTATAAATATGATAATCTGAAATGAACTGGAAGGAAAAAAAAATGAACTGGCCATGTCAAGGAATATTGTATTTGAAAAGTATAGATCTTTATTTTAAGATAAATTAAAGTTATATAAGATTAAGAATAGCTAAATAAAGTTAATATAACTAGAAGAATTACATCTGTCATCTTAGTACTGGAATGTTACAATTAGCTCTGGCTATACCAGGAATACCATAACTGAATGAACCTGCCCTTAGTCACTTCTACTGCCCAAAAATAGAGTATTGGCCTAATATTCCCTGAAAGCTGAAATTGTGCTTCTCAGGAGCCCCTGCTTCTGCCTTCTGCTCCCAGTAAATGCATAGGTTTTAGACTCTCTTCAAATCGTCTTGGAGAATCTTAATCTCTCTCATTTTTTTCAAAAGTAAATATCATTTTATGAACATAAGACCAACACTGACAAGCGAGACTTGAAGATGTTTCTTCATGATTACACATCCTTGTGGCTAAATGTGAAGTACGGATACCCAAATTGTTTGTCTCCACAAATCTTTTTGAAAACATGTGAAGTTGGAAGCCTAAACCACTTTATAAGGAACCTGTTCTTTTTATTAACATAGGTGTCAGAATTTCCATTTTTAAAATTGACTTCAGCACAGTTCAGGCTT